CACCGCCTGCTACGTAAGGTTGCAAGCGCAACATGGAGAAGTCATGAGCGACACAAAAAACTGGAGTAGGAACGGGGGTTGTTGATTTCATATCAACCTTCTTTTTTGTTCTTCTTTTTTGCTTTGTTGTCGTCTGCAACTAAAAACAATATTGAAATGTTTAAATCTATATCTTTAATATAGTTCACAAAAACATATAATCATTGGTTTATAAATAAAACGAATACCTCGGTGAAAGGAGTGCACAAATATTATGATGGTTTTCGACTCCTCGGTTTATCGGGTGTAACTTCTTTGTCATCATCATCGTCTTGAAAATAATCTACATTTCCCGTTATTATTAGTTCGTCTTCGTCCGGCACATCATCATCAAATTTGTTCCCCGCATTGTAATTCCTCTCCTCCCACTCCTACATTAAAACTAATACGTTATACTTAATAACGAAATACACATAATTTAATCAGCAATATTATCTAAATAAACAAAATATTTATATTAATGTAACTATAATAACCTCTTTAACTCCACTATAATCATTTACATCAAACACATCATCATCGAATTTGTTCCCGCAAACTCATTCCTCTCCTCCAACACCTACATTAAAAATATAACTTTTTACTCAATAAAAAAAGACACTTTATTAAAAAGTAATTATTATAATCGTAAATGTAACATCTATAACAACCTTCTCGTCTTGAGCATCACCAAAAACATTTTCAGTTGTATGGTTTTTATTCATTACTTCATCCTGTACAACCTATATTTTCAAATATAAAATATGAACACAGATATTCATATATGTTAATAAAATTAAATAAATAGTGTAGCGTGTAACTAACCTGTTCATCATTAAAAACATCGCTCCAAAATTGCTCATTATTCACTTGTTCAACAAAAACCTCTGTAGGTTGTCGGTTCGTAAACACATGCTGCTCCAATGCATGTAGCCGTTTCAACACCTCGTCTAGCTTGTGTTTCCCACTGCTCCGACCTCTACCATGAGAGCGACCACTGGACGACATACTAGACGAAGATTCGTCTTGTCTCCTAAAATGGTCCCGTACTGGGGATGGAACTGCTTTCCCTTCACCATATACATACTCTTGAAATGACATATAATAAAAATATGTCATCTCATCATCACCCGGTAGCATGTTTTGTCTTGGTGGTACCCCCGCCTAAAATATTAAACATATTAAAAATGCATACAAAAGTATAATAATCAACTTTATTAATATTAAACGAATTAATTTTAAACCTCCATCTTTGACCAAATCTTGTGGCACCCGATCGTTAACTTCTTTACCCAAAAAACCTTCACACAAAATGTATATCAAACATACTCTAACTGCATCAACATCGTCAAGTGCTAGGAATGTTTGATTTAAAATTAATCTTTTCAGGTCGCCTATTTTCACCGAACTATTAGTATGGTCCGGAAATAGCCGTTCACGAAGTAAACATTTTTTTTTACTGCTTATTAATTTTTCTGACCCTTTTCTCCCAATGTTTTTTGGATACTCCGCAAATTTGAAGCCGGTAATCAAACAAAACTCTTCCGGCCCATACACCATTTTCGTATTGCCTACTCGAAAATATAAACGTTTTATTCCATCTGGATATAAAACAGGGTCCGGCCGGATCTGATGAAGGAACATTTTATGAAACAATAATGCGTCCCCTTGTAAACGAGGGACATCAATAAAATAACCGAAGACAGTATCTCGGAAAATAGCACGTCGGGCATCATCTAAAACTTCAAATACTTCCCATATGTTACCGCCACAGCCTTTTAAGTTCGCAAAGGCTTTCGTATTCATTAAACTAAAATCATGCTGCAGAAAAAACACAAAAACAAATTAGATAACTAAAAAATATTTTTTTTAAAAAATATTTGATTACAAACTGCAAATAAAATTTCTTAATTACTAATATATATATTTCCCATAAAAAAACAATAACATACACATATATAAACAATTTCCCAAGTTATACAACTAATATATTAATGATAGAAAACAATATTCCAAAGTTATACAACTAATATATAAACATTTTATACAAACAATTTCTAACAATATATATATATATATATATATATATATATATATATATATAATATATATATATATATATATATATATATATAATATATATATATATATATATATAAAACACAAATTTTCAACTTATACAAATGTTTTACTTAAACTACAAACACAAACAATTTCTAACAATATATATAAAACAAATTTTCAACTAATACAAATGTTTTACTTATACGACAAACACAAACAATTTCTAACATTATAATATACCACAAATTTCAACTTATACAAACGTTATACCTATACGACAAATATATATACAAACAACTATTTGCACTTTATATAAACAACTATACGATTAGAATATACAAGATTTCAGGTTATACAACAACTAAAAAAATATTAACCCTATCAAACACAACAAAATTAAACTTTTTTAACACATCCTTAATACAACAAATGATACAAAAAAAGAGATTGTTGACATTAAAAGAGTAAAAATCTAACCATATTTGCGGGATTGTTGACATAATCCTCCATTTTCTTCAAAAACTAGCAAAAAATCGGAGCTAACCCAAACTTAGAGAGAGTTTTTGTGTAGTGAAGGGTGAAAAATGAAGGAAAAAAAAAACGTTTTTATAATCAAATTAAGGGCATTTCGCAGATAAGAAGCCCATTTCGCAGATGGGGCTTCTCATCTGCGAAAGTACAAGTGCCTAAAGCACAACTGTGCTTTAGGCACTTGTACTTTCGCAAAAATTAAAAAAAAAAAGGCCATTTGCGAAAGTACAAGTGCCTAAAGCACAACTGTGCTTTAGGCACTTGTACTTTCGCAAAAATTTAAAAAAAAAAAAAAAAAAAGGCCATTTGCGAAAGTACAAATGCTTAAAGCACAACTGTGCTTTAGGCACTTGTACTTTCGCAGATGAGAAGCCCATTTCGCAGATGGGACCTTCTCATCTGCGAAAGTACAAGTGCCTAAAGCACAACTGTGCTTTAGGCACTTGTACTTTCGCAAAAATTTAAAAAAAAAAAAAAAAAAAGGCCATCTGCGAAGGTACAAGTGCCTAAAGCACAACTGTGCTTTAGGCACTTGTACTTTCGCAGATGAGAAGCCCATTTCGCAGATGAGACCTTCTCATCTGCGAAATGGGTGGTTATTTTTGTAATTTCGATTTTTTTTGGCTATTTTTGTAATATCATTAGTGTAAATGGCTATTTTTGTAAATTTCTCTAAAATTTTGACATTGATCACTGCTTACCAATTTTTATACATATTATATATGTGCCTCCGAATCAAATATTGAAGCTTCGCCCTGAACTAATGGTCTTGTAATAGTCTATAATATTATTATTTTTTAAAAGATAAAAACATAACAAAATAGTCGTTAACTCTTTCTTTAAAAACATAAATAGATTTATATTTAAATAAAAATAATCTTTTATTATAGAAACTAAAATATTAACTTTTATCAATAATTAAAGAAAAAACGTTATATTTCCATGTAACTTCCCCCCGTGACTATGGTATTATGTCTTGTTACAATTGGCCCTTGAAGATTGATATTTGATAATCCATGAATCTGTGTCAATCAAATTAATGTTCTAAAAGCTAACCAAATTATTTTTTTACATGTAATCAATCTGAAACTTGATACTTTATCAAGTTTATGTTTATCCCACCATCCCATGAAAAAGCTTGAATCTTTATTCTTCTTCTTCAATGGCTGGAGGTATGACTAATAACCCTAGCACCAACTCTGTCAAGTTTCTTCACCATAGCCAAAGCTTTCAACTTTCCCTTCTCCACAAAAGCTTCCACCATCTTCTCCCCGATCTCCCTCCCTTTATCTTCATCATCCGTCACCGCCACCACCGTCGGCCCAGATCCACTAATCGTACACCCATATGCTCCTGCCTCCATTGCCGCCTTCTTCACATCTTCCATACCCGGAAGCAATGGCGCCCGCCGTGGCTCCACTATTCTATCCGACGATAATGCCTTCCCAAACCCCACCAAATCTCCCTGCAATACACCTGCCACCAACGCCGCCGCCTGACTACAATTCCATACATGATCCGACATTGTTATCTCCGTCGGGAGAACCGCCCTCATCTTCTTCGTTTGTGCTTGGAATTCAGGATTCACCAACACAAAAAACAAATTCTTTTCCGGTGGAAACTTCAAGGAGATCAACTCTAATGGATCATAGCTTCTGATCAACACAAACCCACCCATGATTGCCGGAGCAATGTTATCGGCGTGATAACCGGATAACTTCGCTTCAGCTTCGAGCCCCGCGAGTATCAAATCGGATTCCTGTAACTTCCCTCCGAAAATCTCATTAACCGCAACGGCGGCAGCGGCAGCGCTAGCGGCGCTGGAGCCTAGGCCGCCTCGAAGGGGGAGACATGTATTGATGGATAAAGAGAGACCCACGGATCGGATTTTTAGCATCTTCATGACGGAGATTGCAGCAATTCCGGCGCAATTCCATAGAGGGTTTCTGCTGAGCCTCTTGGAAGACTTGTCAACGCCGTTGATTTCTGCAATTGATAATCTGCCGGGTCGGACTAGGGGGTCGACTGTGAGGGTGACGTAATCTCCGATGCCGTCGATTGCGCAGCCGAGGAAGTCGAAACCAGGCCCGAGGTTGGCTACGGTGGCCGGGGCGAATGACTTAACGGAGGTGAAAACTGGATGAGGTTCGGGTTCCAGTTTGGAAGCGACAGAGATATTGCACCGGACAGACGATGAAAGATAAAGTTTAGGGGGTTTGAATAAATCCGTACTAGAGATAGAAGAAGAAGTGGAGGCGAATGGAGGTTGATAATGGCGAATTGCCATTTTCACTTGCAGAGATAGAGTGGGTGGCCGGTGAAGCAGAAGAGGGTTTTGAGGGTTTAGAACAGGCAAAACTCAACTTTGAATAAAAAGCACAACCAACCCTTAACTTTAAGAAATTTCATGTTTAACCCCAAATACTATTTTATGGCATTGGCCTTGTATACAATTTTAAATCTATAAATTCTTAAGAGTATGTTACTATAAGTTACTTACTACATTGGTCTTTTACAACAAATGAACTAGAATGAGCAATTCGTTTTCGATCTCTCATTTGTACAAAAGACGTATATACCCTCATCCTATCATAAGCACAATCTCCATAAAGCTTGAAAAGTCTCATCCATATGCCTGTTTTAAAATTAAACCATACTAAATATCTTATACAACACACGATTCGAGCAATCAACTATTAACATTTTGCTCATCATCAACCTCCGCTTGAATTCGGTTTGACCGATTCCTCGAGTCAACTTCCGCACCATTAACAGTTAACCTCTCCCTCTTCCTCTTCAACTTACTCTTAGATACCTCTTCTTTCTCATCAGCAAACGATAAAAACCTCTGCAACCGCACCGACCGTGACCCCGACCCCGACCCCGTCTTCTGAGACTCCTCGGGGGTGTCGGAATCGGAATGATGTTTTCCGAACTCCCAAAGCATCATTCCGAAGTACAACAAGAGAGCGATGGAACAAGCGATTCCGAAGATGAGGAAGAGTCCCCAAAAGCTTTCGAGCTGAAGCTGGTCGGAGTCGGAATCAGAATTGGAATCTTGAGAAGCGCACGATTCCCGTTTGAGCCAACGGTCGTGAATCTTTTGAAGCTCTCCGTTCTCGGATAATGTTAGGATAGCGGTTGACATGTCGATCGCCAATGGCGATTCCTTCGGGAACGCCTGAGGGAAGAATCACAAGAATCACATGATTTTGACTTTTTGAGTCAAACATAATATTTTTCAAAATTTTCAAATTGATACTTACAAATCCCCAACCACTTTTAGTGAATTCTTGGCCAACAATCTGAAACTGACAGCGATATGAAAGGAAAAGATCGATATAAGGTCTTTCATCAACAATGGCTGCCACAATTCCTGTGCTAAGTTTTGTTGCATATTCTTCTGGGGATCCAAGAGCCACAAGTCTTGATTGTGGGATGTTGAGTTCTTCCTTCAAGTAATTCTCTGCAAATGATCCCACTTGAAACCCGATACGTTCATTGGTTGTGATCAATGAATCAATTCCTCTTATTGGAGATGAAAGTTGTTGAACAGTTAAGATCGATGTCAAACTGGCTGTGTAACTTGAATTGATAATTAGAACCACAAAAAGCCAGATGAACAGAACCATCCGACCAAGGGTGCTCACTGTGTTTTCTCCTGAAATAGCAATGTACTTTCATTCATTTCTTTAAACTAATATAATTTTGATTTTTTACTAATAAATAATCAAATGTTTGGAGTTTTGATGCTTACTGTGTGAGAAAAACATGGTTGACAAGGTAAACCTGCAAAACAACAAGAAGCAAGTCTTACAAGTTACAAAAACAATGAGGAACAAATAACACAATTGGTTGATTCATATATTAAGTATTGGTATCTAAACTGCTTACCACAAGATGGTGACCAACTGTCGCTTAGGTGGGCCCCTAAATTCATCATTAAGCCTGTGTTCCAGTATCCACACAACAGCCCCAACAACGATGAAAAAAAATCCGGTCACCGCCCACATCAGCGGTGTGAAAGGCCGCATGAAAGCCCAAGCACTCGAGTTTAGTTTCTTTACGGGGACCACCACCACTAACCCCGACTCTATATACGGTTGTGTGAAGTCCACTGTCTTTGTCCGGTTTGTCACAATTGCAATATCACCAACAGCAGCATCAAACACCTGAAATATTTTCAACAATAAGGATGAGGAAGGTATTTACGTCTTTTACACAAACAAGAGATCCAGACCGACTATAATAGTCTAATGTCCCAACAAAAAATTGCAATTTTTGTCCCATTGACATCAGTAGTCTTAGTCTCAGTCCCAGTATAGTACAACCAGGTTATGATTGTAACAACTTACATTATACGCAACATTATGCACAAGATCGTTGTAGCTCGGGTTCTTATAGCCATCTCCAAACTTAACAAACTCATAAGGAACCGGATATGGAATCAACTTTATCGCCGCGATGAAAACATCGATGCTAAATCCATGAATATCATGGGAACCGTTGACTTGTGTGACAAATTTTTTAAAACTAACTCTTAATGGAACTCCAATCCGTAAGGGCTTTCCGTTATTTGAAAACTCCCATCCCCGAGGCTTATCTTTCGTGTTCCCGGGCCATATTATGGTTCCTAACCGTTGGTTTAAAGAAGAATGGTTCGATGGTTTTGCATAAAGCGGCTCGGGAACCCCAATCGATAGCCCTGAGTGGTTCGACCAATACCCGACAACCCGACGCTGGTTCCCAACCATGTTGATTACATCAAACGAAGGGTTCACCAATGATTGATCCCGGTTGAACCAAAACGGGCCGGTTAGGCCCGTCATATTTGTTTCCAATAACTTGGCCCGAACACGTTTCCCGCCATCAAAAAAACTAAGTGCTCCAAAATTTAAACCTTTCACCGCTTTCAACCTCGAATCATTCGAAAAAGAAATGTTTCCACCTTCGTTTAAAAACTTGTCAACCGCGTACGCAATCATCCAAACCGTATCATAAGCGTATAAACCATACGGGTTCAACCCGATCGACCCGTTACTCAAACCCTTCCACCGCGTTACAAACTCTCGTTTCTTCTCCGTATCCGGTGTGTGGGGCCGGACCGTGAGAACACCGTGTAAAAACAACGTCTCATTTCCGGAAATGCCTGTGGAATCCAAAACCGTAGACAACCAAGTCGTCGCAATCCAGACGTACCCTTTTTTCATCATCCCGAGCTTCTTGGCGGTTTCGAAAACCGAAAGACCGGTTTTTGAATACGTATTTACGATAATAACCCTAGATTCTAATGCCCGTACTTTAAGCAGTTTGTTGGTTAGATTTTGTGGAGATAATGAGGTGTCGGGTGTTAATGCTGCTTTATAGGAGATCTTACACCGCCTTTCGGAAAGTAGATCGCCTAATGTGGATATGCTATTACGGAATTGGTCGTCATCGGTGAATATTGCGGTTACTTCTCGATAACCAAAGTAGGTTACCATTTCGGCGATTGCAGTCATTTGGTAAAGGTCGTTAGGGGAGGTTTGGATGAAATACGGATATTGAAGAGGTGAAAGTGAAGGGTCTAATGCTGTGAATGATAAAAATGGAACGTGGAGTTCGTTTGCAAGATGTGAAAGTACGTGGGCCATTACTGAACTTTGTGGACCGATAACGGCTACGGTATCAATCTCCATGTATCTCAAAGCTGAAAATCATAGTTATTAAAGAATGAAGTTGTTAATGGAGAGTGAAGAGTCTCTCATTAATAAGATCCAATTTCTCATCGTATTCTTTTTTCTTATTAAAACATTGTCCTTTAAGTTTTTTTTTCTTAGGATATTGTATTTTGAAAAATCTACCCGGTTATATAAGTGAAAATTGCTTTGTAATTGGATTATATTGCCATAATTTGGTAGATTTTTTAAAAAATAAAATGATTCTTAGGATGCTATTATAAAAAAATGAACAAAATACATCGTTATTTCTTGCATTTAATCATACTATATACTATCGAATATGCTGACTAAACATTAGACACTAACAGCAATTATTGCTACCACCTAAAATCACTATAATCAAACAATCACTTTCAAAATTGACATCCGAACAACCCCTAAAATTTCAATATACGAATCATGAATCGTAATCTCCATCCCGATTTCTTTTCTTTTGTTGTGCGAATTTTGTTTCTAATTTCTAATTTCAAAATTATTATATTTTGAAGTTGAAAAAAAAAAATAACATTACCACCGACAATGCTAAGGAAACCACTGAAGTTTGCATCGTGAAATGAGAGACTCAATCTTCTGCCTGGTAAAATGGAGGGATCAGAATTGACATCGTCTACAGCAGTCTTCATGGCAATCGTTGAAACCTTCCCATTGATGGTTTTAAAGTTTAAAATTGCTCCAATGTTCACAGTATCGGTTTCAGAAATCACAAATAAGAAGCTTCCAAGAACCAAAATCAACACCACCCAACTCCTCATGTAGACTAACATAAGGGCTGTTTGGGAAAGCAAGATAATCATAGTGGGTGTAAAAAAGAAGAGATTTTTACGCATATTGTAACGAAAAGGCGACAAGAGCCCTAAAACGCACAAACCCTTCAAAGAAAGTTAACATCTTTTACCGAAAAGCACACATACCCGTGTCCGTGTGTATGCATAATAAGTGGACGCAAAGATTTTGCATATGACATTTGAAAAAAGGAAGTGAGGTTGCTTTCGATGAAGAAGAGATTGTGAGTCTGTGAGTGGAAGACTGAAATGTTGAGGGTGTCGGGGTTAATGGAGGGGGTGAAAGGGAAAAAGGGTGTGGGGTTCTTGTGTACATTTTCAAGAAATCTTGAAGATGTATTTGAAAAAGAGAAAGATTTGGATGAGTCGTTGTTGGTTAGATTCGCACAATTTTAGTGGAGTGAAGGAGGGAGGACTCTCTGTTGCCTTCCTTTCTGGTTTCCTTCTTCAGCAGTTTCCTTCTTTGACAGGTTCATACTTTCCTTTTATATAACCTCTCTATACAATAATGCAAGGAGAATGTTGTTTCCCCTTTAATGAAGTTTTATAATCAACTTGAAACTTCCATCTCAAAAAATGCCCAATAAAGAGATCGACTCATATGGCCCAACTTTGGCTTTTTCTTTATCCTTTCTCATGAAATATTAGTCATTTTTTTTTATCCTTTCTCATGAAATATTAGTTATTTTTGGGTATTAAATTAATTGCCTAACATATTCATAACGATTTAATACACGCAACCTGTTCGTTAAAGTTATCCCAAATACACGAGGAGGGGCACTATAATAGGAAGGCTGGATTCCCATTAATTTGATTATTAATGTTTTAGTGGTACATCACCATTTACATAAAGAGAGGTATATAATATTTAAATAATATTTAAGAATATGTGTATTTGTTGATGAAAATCATTAAAATTACATGTATTTGTCGGATAAATTTACATATTTGAAATAAATTATGCGTCGTTATTATTATTCTACGCCATCTTTAGATTTGAACTTTTATGTTTTTCATGTGTGTGTTTTTTTTTGTGTCTGAATGTATTGGTGTGTATGTGTACAAGGCCGGTCCTAGACTACTTGAGGTCCAGGGCAAAAAAAAAAAAAAAATAAGACCCTTCAAATTATATAATTTTGTAGTCAAGTAACTAGAGTTCATATGCAAAAAAGTGGCATGTACTAATTCACTAAAATGTACAATTATTTGAAGTTGCTAAGGTTTAAAAAAGAAACTTCGTCGATGAATGCATGTTTCGAGGCTTTCAAGTTTCAATGAATATATCTTTCTCTTGGTGAATAATATAATTATGGCTGGTCCAAAAAAATTTATTCCCCACACAAAAAAAATAAAAAAATAAAAAGAACTTAACAAAGCCTTTATATTTGAATGATAAATGAAGCCAAATATAAATTAGCAATTTGAAAATATACATAATGGAGGCAAGTTGAATATAAAAAGATTGACAATTTCAGATGACAGTAAAAAAAAAGTTCAATCTGTTTCACATCAAAGTATTGAAGTTTATATCAAAATTATTACTAAAGTAATACCTAATTGAATATGAATGCACATGTTTGATTTCTAAAAATAAAATTAACAAATAGCATAGAAATTTAAAAACTAAAAAAAGTTTACATATAGTATTTGCCTCGAATTATAAATAGCAAAATGACTTTCACAAAATTCAAATTGATAGCAAATTATCTCCTTTATTTTTATTTTTCTATATAATATTCCTATCAGCTATAAATCCTTTTAGAAACATCTAAATTTTAACACTCTTCTTACTGGAACACACATAAGTAATAACATACTAAAAAAACTATCTTAGCAAAGCTACTGTACTTACACTTATAATCGTATGCAAAAATCAAAACTTAGATACCTTAATCTATTTATTTGGATATTGACTAGGGCCGGATGAAAATCAAACTTTTAGAAATCAAACATTCAAGAGGCTGCTGCTAGTGTTGTGGTGATAATCCTTCAAAATAAATCGTTTTGCGAAATAGTTCTGCATTTCAACCTTAGGCGGTTCATTACTTCTTGATAACCGAAGAATCGTTTGAGCCGTTTTGAGAAGCACAAAAAAATATCTGCCTTTAATAATTAATAAGTAAAATAATTCAAAACAAGTTTCTTGATAATTGAGCAATTGTTTGCGTCGTTTTGGAGGCACACCAAGAGTTTGGGAGGGCACACCAAAAAAAGATCCATAACCTTTAATAAAGGCTGAAGTAAAATATTAAAAAAAATCAAAAGATGTGAATAGCAAGTTTCGAACACAAGCGTACTCACCAATATTAACCCCTACGCTTCAAGTCTTCAACCATCTCAACTATTGCTTTTTGTTATCTGCCGCATATTATATTTTTTTATCATCTAAATCCGTATATATACACTAATAGTAACTTGTAGGGGCCCTGAGAGTTGGCGAGGCCCGGGACGGTCGCCCAGCTTGCCCATACTCTAGGGCCGACCCTGTATGTGTAATGTGCAATGTAGTATGTTGTATGTACCCACGCAAATGAATGTAGGATTACATGATAAATGAAGAGAAATCAAATATCTTCATTTTTTTTCTTATTCATTAGATCAAGTCAAGTGTTAAAACGAAAATATTAGATAAAAATATAGAATTAGTGCTATCAACAGATCATAATCTTATATAAGTAGGGATAAAAATAGAAGGGTATTTAATTTTTCATAAATGAATCATGACAGTATGATGCTATTTTCTATTTTATATTTTAAGTGTTCTTAAAATTATATCAACTTTTGTAAATGAATCTTTATTAAAACGATCTCAATGCTTGCCATACACATGAAGTACAACCCGTTCGATAAATCTCTATATCATCAATCGGATCGTGATGAAATTCTAAAAGAAAGATGATAGAATCAAATCGGATTTATAAAATCAAATATAAATATGGAGAAGTGGAATGTTACAAGGCACATTAATTAGTGGCAAAAGTATATTCTAAAACTAAATACATAAATTTTCATGAAACCTTTGCCTATATAGTGAAGTTGGTCACGACTCAATGTGTTTTTGGCAGTTGTCTCCAAAAAGCAACATTAGGTGCCCTAACTACATGAAAAGAACAAATTCTTACATGACAACCTCGATAAGGAGATGTACATGAAAGTGCCCTAAGGTTTCACTAAAGCAAATGAAAATCGTGTCTTCAAACTACAAAATTCCATCTATAGATTATGACAGACATCGCGAAATTAGTATAAGCATTTACCAAAGCATTTATTAAAATTGATTTTCATCAGTCTAAAGCAGGTCACACGGTTTTTATTTTTTGAGAGAATTCGATTTACATCATCTCCGTTATATACATAGATATTGTGTTACTAAAAGAATATTGTAGATGCCAAAGTTCATTTATATGCGCATTTTAACATCAAATGTTTGGGTCCTCTTAAATATCTTTGGGAATTGTAGTTGCTTGGTGTAGTGAAGGTCATGTAATTAGCCAGCAAAAATATATGTTTGACATATTGGAAGAATGTGGAGTATAGGTAACTGATCTCGATGATTTTCCCATTGAATATAAGTTATGATTATAAAAGGATGATGAAATTCATGAAGTTGAATGCTTCTCAACATCGGCAAGTAGTGGGACCATTACTCTATCTCATCTTCACTTGGCTTACTCGGTTTACCAATTCAGTCAGCTTTTATGCAATACGCGATGTACTCATATGTCCATTATTTTCCTATTCTATGATACTTAAAAACATAGGGTGTTTGGGGTGATGCTACTCGACTGGAGAAGGAGGTGGAGGGGACCAGATCGGAGGCAACATCTTCCTTTTTTCTGGTTCATTTTTCCGGCGACCAAGCCTTTTGGCAGGGCTGTAGAGATCGAGGGGGACAACAACATCTATAGGGAGTGTTTGTGGATCTGGATTGCGACAGAAAGAGGAAGGAAGGGGCAGTTCTGGTGGCTAGCACTAGTGGCTGGCAGACTCTTCCTTGGCCAGTGGTGAATAAAAACGGGAAGGGGAGAGAGGTGAGGGTAGAGAGAGGAGTGATATAACGAGAGAGAGAGAGAGAGAGAGAGAGAGAAAAGGTCCCATTTTTTATTTCAATTTAACAACATATTAAAATAAATATTAAAAAAAAACAAAGGGCATTTTCGTCTCTTCACATATAATTAACATAATCTTTTAACAAAGTTAGTCATAAGGACCTTTTGTGTGCAAAGTTTACTCCGTAAGGACCATCTCAGGAAAAAAAAAGTTTCGTAGGGACCATATCAAGGAAAAACTATAAAGTTAAAAGACCATTCGTGTAATTTGTTCTTTTTTTTAAACTCCAGTGGATACCGCGGTGAAGTTGTCTTCGGTATTTGAAAAAAGAAAACGTGTTAATGAAAAAGAGTTGTAGGGTCCTACTTTGGACACATCAACCTACATTATCATCATACACCATTAGCCTTACTTTTTAGACACGCTACTTGATTTTTAAGATTGTTTTATTGGTTGAATTTGCATTGATTTTCAGAAAAGTAATTATAAAGAATTTATTATAGGTTGATTTTTAATAAAAGCGTTCATAGGGTATCTAAGGGGTGTTTTAGGTAGACTTTTAATAAAAGTGTTCATAGGATGTCTAAGGAGTGTCTTAATAGCATCACCCTACTTTTATTATTATTCATTATAACCTAATCAAAAAACCATTATTATTTAATAATTACAATTTTCTTATTAACTTCATTAATATTAATAACTTTAAATTTGTTTTTTAATTAAGATAAATAACAATAATACTATTATTTTTAGAATATAATAATATAAATAATATTATAAAAAAATAAAGTTCTACAGAAATTTTCATTAACATAATATCATTGATAGTATAAATAATATTATAAGAAAAATAAATTAGAAACAAACCTTCATCGTTTTTTTTTTTTTAAATATTACATAACAAAAATCCGAGACAAAAATAAACAACTAATCATCTATGATCATAAAGATCTTTCCGTAGGTCTGAGTCGTTTATAAAATTCTAGATGCGACTTATACATAGTTTGTCATTCGGCTATGGACGGGTCTTTGTGGAGGATCCATAATTTTGAAATAGGCGGCATCGAGTACTCTCCTTCTAATTGTACCATCACATAGTGATCAGTGTAAACAAGTGCAAATGTAAGGACACGATGATTTTGAAACTCATTAGGACCTCTCCATAGAGGGAAAAAGGTTACAGAGCCCACTGTGGTTAAAAACTAGACGATCAAACCAAACTTGTTGGCTATCAGGATACCTATCTCAAGCAGAAGCATATAGTGTTTGGGTGGTGTTGCCCTATCTTTCATGAAGAAAGACAATGAATCAAGTACTTTGCAACACTCGGTTCCCGGTACGTATTTTAAATTTGAGTAATTGCATGTTTCACACTTGGACTCAACGAGTTTGAGGCCTAACTCGTCGAGTAGACTGGATATTGGACGCAAGTTTTAAGTAATCTACTCGACGGGTCGGGAGCCCGACTCGACGAGTAGGATTGCATGGATGAAACCCTAATATTTAGGGTTTTACACCCTATTTAAACACATTATCTCGTCCCACTTCAGCCTCCATTGCGTCTTACAGTCCAGAAAATCCCTAACTCGAAACTCTAAAGTAATTGGAGTGTTCTTGATCCATTTTTGGGTGTTTATGCTTGTTTGAAGCTTGAAGAAAGAAGTGGTAGCTTGGTGGTTCCAGAAGAAGCAAGTAGATCCTGAGATGTTGCTTCATTACCAACCCATTCAAGGTAAAAAACTTCAAACTTGACCATCTATTTTTTAGATATCTAGTTAGGGTTCATTTATACCTTTTCTAGGCTTTAGTAGAGCCAACTTCGGGGTTTTGTGGTTCTAAAGGGGTGGAACTGCAGATCTGGAACCATTGGGGGTTCCCATGGCATAAAGGTGCCAACTTTATGGCCATGGGAGTCCCATGCAACATATAAACCTCATTTTAGAGCCTTTTTGAGCCAAAAACCCCATGCATGAACGTCAGTTTGTTGCTTTACGTGTAAAATGAACCCTAGGAAGTCATATTCGTGTTTTGGGTGCATTAAGACCAGCTGAAATCAACTAAATAGTTTTGGACATAGAGGAACTCGGTGAGTCGCTTAAGTGACTAGGCGAGTCAGGCCGTATTTTTCCCCAACCCCCTTTTGATATCAAGGGGTGTGTTGAGTTGGAAGAAGACTCAGCCGATTGGGTTCATAATAAACTTGAAGATCAACGTACTCGACGAGTTCAAGGATGAACTCGGCGAGTCCAAGGCAATATCCCAACCATATGAAGATGAACTCGACGAGTTCAAGGATGAACTCAGCAAGTCAAGGAATAAACACCTTAGCTCGGATGAAGAAGAACTCGACGAGTTCGAGGATGAACTCGGTGAGTCAGTTGTAAAAGGTCCTGACTTGGTTTAAAGGAGAACTCGGCTAACTCTTGTAAGGCTCGGCGAGTAGGGCCAAAGTCTTGGCATTTTCATGATTTTGGTACTTGACGAGTTGTGGGGCCAAGTCGGCAAGTTGAGTCAATTGGATGTTGACTTTGACCTAGCTTTGACTTTAACCATGGTGTTGACCTTGACTTTGACTTTGACCTAAGTTGACCAGGAAATGGCAATTAAGAAAGATTGTTGTGTGTAGGACCTGAGAGGGGTTGATTCTGGCAGCAAGGACAGTTCAGACACTTTACGACATCAAGGTGAGTTACCTTCTAGTAGAAGTGGGTCGAAGGCACTAATGCCGACCCACTAGTAGTTGGCTATAGTTGAGACGATTGTCTTTGTGATAATTGTCTGGTTTGCTACTACCTGATATGTTTATGTGCTAGCAAGATATGTTATATGTGATATGGTAGTAGGAGAGGAGTAGTCCTCGGGTTTGGTTGTTAGGACCGAATGGTAGGTCAGGCACCCTAGATATGCCTGGCAGTATGTTTATGCTATGTTTTGTGTGGTAGTAGTAAGGGTGAAATGGTCCCCGGAGCCGGTTGGAATAAACCGGAGGGTAGGTCAGCACCCAAGAACTGCTTGACATGGGTAGGTCGGGCACCCCAGAATCACCTAGCATGGTAGGTCAGCACCCCATAACTGCTTGACATGGGTAGGTCGGTCACCCCAGAATTATCCGACAGTATGTTTGTTGTATGGTATGTGGTATGATTTGGGAACTCACTAGGCTTTGTGCTTACGGTTTTTTCAGTTTTGGTTTCAGGTACCTCTTCGTCGAAGGGGAAGGATCTGACACGGTAGCAGCGCATCGCACACACATGATTCCGCATTTTGAGATCCATGGGATTGTACTCTGACATTATTACTATTGATGATACGATTTTTGAGATTTGTGATTATGGTTTTATGGATTGATATGATATTGATGATATTTTTAAGTAAACTGTTTTATGAGTAACATAATTAAAAACAAATTTTTTTAGCCTTGAAAATCGGGATGTTACAAGTTGGTATTAGAGCATTGGTTTGAGGGATTCGGACACACCTTCGGGGGTGTTTGGACTCAAATCGAGGGCTTGAAAGATTTTTAAAAGGAAATAAGTTTTTTTTCTAAAAGTTAAAGTAAATAGTTTTTGAGAAAGAACAAGGTGTGTGACATGTGCAACCGGTCGAGCTCAAGTAAGTTTTCCCCAAGATACCCATACATTTTATGATACAATATGATTATGAGAACTGCATGCTAGATTAGGGCTAATGATCTAGGAAGGATGCCTTTATGCTTATTGTATGTGAATGAGAACTGTATGCTATATTAGGGCTAAGGATCTAGGAAGATGCTTGATATGCCTGTTGTATGTGCTTACTAAGCTGCATGATAGTACTAAGTAGTCAGTGATATGATAGCCTGGATAGGATATGCATGGTTCGGGTTACTTAATGACCGAATGTTGCTTGCTTTGTGCTAATAGGAGTCCTAGTTATCTTTAATTAACTAGTAAACGAATACGTTAAGTTACATATTGCGAGGACTAAATAATTTCAGAAGGTTAGGTTTAGCCCTATTTCGCAGCTCTTGTTTGAATCTAGCCATTGTAGGGAGAGACCTCTCATTCGAAGAATTATCTGGTCTTAGTCCTATGTAATAGTATTCGCGAGCTAGTTAAGAAGAGATGACAGAGACTTCTTATGCAGCTGATGGCGGAGAGTGGGTTGGAGAGTTACCCTAGGGTAAGCCTAGGATGAGATTAGTGCAACGAGCAGTAATAGTAGAATGGACTTGGTGAGGTCAAAGCAACCCTTGAGGAAAGTATGGATAGATGATAAATGTATTATGGGCCCGTACTACTGAAGGTAGAGGATCCGTACTCGAGTTAAGGAATGTCGAGACAAAACCAAGGAACTTGTAGAATGTATGAGATCTCTTGAGGTTATATATGATCCTGACGATTATGTGTTTTGTTTCAGAATGGTGATGATTACGCGTCACGGAGCAGGAGGGTCGGGATCAGGATTAGGTTCAGGTTCGGGATCCGATCCAGTTGATGAGAAATTGTGCGAGTTCTTCGCGTCAGAGATCACGAGAGGCATCCTTAAGGTGACCCCAGTGATTTTCAGGTCAATCAAGGAGGAGATTATCGAGTTGATGGAAGATCACCTCAGGGCATTGAGGAGCGACATGTCATCCATCCAGTCAGGGTTGTGCGCAACTTCTTTAGGTAGTCGGAAGCATGTAAGTAGAAGGGAGAGTCGCGATCAACTGACTCTCCATCATTCTTGTTCTTGTTGTTATTAGAGGCATCATCGTCGGGCATGATGGATGATTAGGGTTTTTGTTTTTCTGGATCTGATGCTCTGATACGATATACAAATAGGTACAATACACATATTACAAGCAAAAGGAAAAAGCTAAAAATAAGGGCTATACAAGTAAGCAATATATATGATTGAGAGAAGATCAAGGGAATGACAGATGGATTCCAATAAATAATAATAGTATTCCCTCATTTTTATTGTTTTGATCCAAGAAAACATCTTTTGAGTTATATAGTAAATATCAATCGGAGGCTTCTTATGAAAGGTTTACAACCCGGAATAGGAGATGTAAGATAAGGAACTAAAGTTATCAGCAAATTTAACTTGGTCTTTATAACTATTAGAATCGGACACAAGATTTGGAGTTTTTTTGGAACTGGAACCGGTTACACCCAACACATCCCGAAATTGGTACCATTACCCGCTTTTTAAAAATATCAAATTTTCAATCATGCAAACTAATCACACAACCAAAAATGTACCATCCCAAGTAGATCAAATCTTTGACTAAAGAAAATTGTCCCAAGTACATCCACAATTGTTTATAGAGCTTAATTTTTTTTACCATAAATATGAATTTTTCAATTCTAACTCAGTTGATAATTATTCCTAAATATGATTGTCCTAATTTTCTCAATTACATGTTCTAGGTTCTGTTTCTATAAGATGCAACATGGCTTGCCATAATAATCAAGTGAAGCTAGCTTCATATGCACTACATGAAGTAATTACTTAAACCGTAAAGAAACTTAAAATTGACAATTTGTTGGTTTAATTGCTTTGAGACAAAAGTTAACAATTAAAAATTTACTAAAGATATAATCGTAAATTCTAATTCGTTCTTGAGGCACAACATAATCAAAGCATACATCAAATTTAGAATTACAGTTTGAGAGTGGGATGAAGAAGAAGAAGTGCCTGCTAAAGACGTGTTATCGGCTGAAGAAACATTGTCGAAGGAGGATGAAGCGTTGCCCGCTATAGAAGCAGCATCAAAAATAATTGTGAAGCCGCGTATACAGTAATAATAACCCAATGGACCAATGGGAATAACATAGAATACTTCAATGTTAAGCCCTTAATCACAGTTCACTGAGTCTCTATAAACTATTTGACCCATTTAACAGAACTAACCCCATATTTCACACTACCTACTAAAAAAAGACACGCATGCAGGATAGACTCCACAAGGCCAATGAGCCCAATACTTCTAATTGGATTATTGACTTATTAAATTCGCCATTCTAAAGATCAAACTGTTTCTGGAAGCAATTAAAGTTAGTAAGTCTGAGAAGTTTAGGGATTAAAAAGGGAGAGTGTGAGAAGACGTCGGAGCGAATTCATCTCGTTAGTGGCAAGGTCGTTATGCCCCCCAACCTCATCAACCCCTGCAACTATATGCTCCACTGATGCAATCTGTAAGTCAAACATCCATGCTAATCTTTTATAATAGTTTCACTTGAAATCATATGTTTATACAGAAAAACATTTCGACATATATACTAACGTACACCCTTCCAACACAAATTGTATGCAGCAAGACATGGACTTAATTTGGGCAATCGTTCTTTCAAAAACTAGAATACATGAAGATTAACAAGGAAATGAGATAAAAGGAAATATACAAACGAGAAAGATCTAACAATTTTGGCTATAGTTAAAAGATTTTAAATGATACTAGGCATCATGGTAAGAAAATAAATGATTAATTTCTCCCCTTTAATGGTAAAAATAAATAAATGTTGCAATTTACAAGGGAAACCGAGTTAGAGACTTACCTGCTTCGCTGTTTCTTCCTTATCTTTTCTTAACTTCCTTTCCTGCTCAACAAACATAAATTCGGGGTTTTATAATGGATGGATGGATGGATATGCATATGATCTTCGTGTGAGTTGTGACATTCAATTATTTATGAAGCTAGCTATGTGACGAACATTTGAATTTCTCTATGAAAAAATCAAAGTAATTGAAGCTTACCTCTTCTTGGAGAGTGGATATGTAGTCCATCATTAACTGTGTCTGCGTCAACCATTAATAATACACGTACATAGTTTAAGCTAGAGTTGATGGAAAAACTTTCTTTGAAATCAGAACTTCACATTAAAAGTACATGAATCACAAATTCAACCCTACAACTTTAACATAACATCAAAGAGAATCACAATATAGACTAAAACATGGAACGTATTAAAAAAGTTAACAATCTAGCTAGGAATTAAAGTGAGTTACTAATTAAGACGAATCACCTTTCTTGATCGTGTTTGCACAAGAGCATCATGAAGTTCTTCCTCTAGTTGTGTCATGTCACTCAGAGAGCGCTCTTCGGTATTATTCTCTTCAACAAGCCTGTGCAAAAAGCTGGCATTCCTTAATCCATAATGTGAAACTAATTCCCATATATGCAGTATATCATTATAATCTCAATTTCCATTAGTTAGTTGACCTTTTTTCACGTGTGTGTCTGTGTGTGTATGGTTACACCCAAGAATCATGTTTGTTTTACCTGTCTACCTCCTGTAGAAGCTCTTTACATGTTCTGAATTTTGTGCACTGCAATGGAAGTTCCTGTAGTGCGTCTCATTATTAAGTCACTAATTCAGTGTTGTATGTATATATATATATATATATATATATATATATATATATATATATATATATATATGGTGTTAAACACAATGAAGGCGTTGTAGCTCATTTAGAAGCTTACTAAATCTTGGTCATCTCCTTCAATGGTCCCACTTTGTGGTTCAAGGCGACTTTTCTCATACCTAGCAAGAAGATGTGCCATACTGGAGGAGCATGCATAGTTAGAGAACATTTAAATTGGATGATCATATGTATAACTTTGAACAGAAGGCAACTATTTTAGAAATATGATATATTTAATTGTAATAATTTCAAAATCCAAAAAGGACACCATGCTTCTAGTATAGTGCTTTTACCCATTTTCCATTACTATGTGTGATCAATCATGTGACTTTGCTTATTTGCTTATACTGAACCAAGAAAGAGATGCAACAAACCAATTTCATAGGACCTAATACCTTTTTATTTTTATTTTTAATTGTTATGATAAAAAACAAAACACAAGGTTTGTCCGATTTTTTTGGGTAGTCTAAGTGTCTCCCAAAAAGGCAAAAACCCTAGGAGCTTTTAGGAGCAATTTAAAAAACTTAGGTGAAGGACAAAAGCTATAGTAGGAGCTTTTATTTAGAAAGCATGACTTGCAAAGTAGAAGTCTTATACAAGTGAATTTTTTTAAATGTTTTTCTTTTTCTCTTTCTCTTGATTTCTATGAATTTAAAATCGCGAGGCACAATAATAAATTAAGTAAATGGGCTTCGTTACATAACATGTGCTTATTGTGGAGCTCTTTTAGTCAAATAAGCTTGTCAATGCTAAACAAGCTATTGTGAGGGCTTTTTCATATTTTACTTGTAAATTTACAAGGTTATTATTATATGGAGCTTTTTCATAATTGTAATAATGTTTAATTAAATTACAAAAACTTTTCAATAGGGTACATTGGTAGAACCCATAAATAAGCCTTTGTTACTATAGAGATACTTCAAAGTTTTTAGTTTTGTAGGGCTGGTGCTTATTAATTTGGCATAAAAAACTTTTTAGAAAAGTTTTCTATTATGTATGCTCTTGTAATGAGAATATATATATAGTTTAAGCTTTTTGGTTGCTTACTTGTCGTCTAGGTGGCAAAAGGAAATTGAGGAAGTTCGCATGATAGATATACTCTTAACTTCGGAGACAGGAAAAAATCTTAAGGGTAGCACACCGGATTGTATCCACTTCTATAATGACTATGATTTTCCTGAATTACTGAAAGTATGTAAAATCTTTACAAATTTACTTTTTTCACGTCCATATGCACAAATATATAAATAACCAAAATAGCTAGTAATACAATAAACAATTCAAGAACTGGTGTAGTCGTTACTATATCATGACAGAAATGGAAATGAGGAAGGAAGCAAGGTTAAAAAGAAATGACAAACACCCGAAAGAAAAACAAAAACCGAATCAACAGAATTTCGCCTAAAGAGAGATTATATATATATATATATATATATATATATATATATAGAGAGAGAGAGAGAGAGAGAGAGAGGTGATACGCATGTATAGAGAAAAGGGAGCAAGAGCACATATATACGAACAAATTTTCAAAACTCAGGCCGAAGAAAAACAGTGAAACAGTGAAAGTCACCTGTTAGTAGCGCTGCTGCAGAATTCATAGAGTTTGCCGGGGGCGGAGAATACGATGAGGGCGACATCCGCATCGCAGAGCAAGGAAAGATGTCGTGCTTTCTTTATTAATCCCGTCCTCCGCTTCGAAAACGTCACTGACCTGCTACTCTTATTTTCGATCCGCTTAATTTCGAGCTTTCTCCGCCCCATTGATACTGATTATCTCTCCGGCCGACGATGAATCTTGTAGCTAGACCTAACACTATATCTCTCCGGGTGTCTCTCTCTCTAGATATTTTTATATGCCTTTGCTCGATGCCCTAGATAGGCCTTATTATTGTAAATTTGTTTTTTACTGGTTTTTTTGAACGGCACCTGTAAATTGTTGTTGAAGATCGTACGACTTCTACTTTTAATAATCACGTGGATCGTACGGCTTATACTTTTAATAATACTCTTTTGTCGTTTAATGTCGGCAAGCCAATGAAAGCAAAATAACATTAAGAGTAACCTCTCGAAAATACCCGTTATCCGAATTACCTGTTCGGTTTTTTCGGATATCGGGTATCGGGTAAATGTTGTCGGGTATTTGGGTAACCCAATTTTTTTGGGGTTAAGTAAATGGTAGGTGTTTGCGGTTTCGGATATACCCGATTACCCGAAAATTTGTTAAACAGATAAAGATGGCCCAATATTTATTATTCTTATATGAGTTAATTATCCGATTTCCAAAAAGCCAAAACTCCAAATCCCAGCTCCTTGCCTCCCTCGTTCTATTTTCTCGTCAAAAACCCTCGCAAGTCACATCGCATCTTCGTTCATCACCGATCAACTCCAGCCAGCAGCCAGTCGACCCCGCCTCCTCCCCGGTCGTCCCCGCCTCGTCACCGGTCTTGGTCGTCGCCCGTCGCTCGTCACAGCCTCGCAGCGTCGCAGACATCCTTGCCAGTCGTCACCTCCAGGATATTTGGAATTCAAAGTTTGAAGTTCAAACTTGCCTTGAATGTAAGTGATAACTACCAATTTCTTTTATTTTACAGTTAAATTTTGTGATTTCGTCCCTTTACTTGAAGTTGTATCAACCTAGAAGCTTCTGTACAAAAACATGGGAGAAAGAATAATTGGTGGACGATTTTTTTTAGCTGGAGAAAGCCAAAGTTCATGGGGACAAAACTCGTGTCTACAATCTTTTTCATATAACAAATGTAGACATCTAACACAAGCATCCATTAATCGAAGATTATTCCATGTGATGTTATAAGACAATGCATTATACACTAATGTATTCAGCATTGATGCAATCCTTCTATGTTGCTCTAGTGTAAATGGAACCTACACCACAAATACCAAATTACAAATACCAAATTCATAAATACAAACTAACATATTAGTAATTTAGGTGCCATTAAAAAATTAAAAAAAAAAATCAGGTAATACCCGAATTACCCTTACCCGACCCGTTACCCGAATTACCCAAACTCGAATTACCCGAATTTAAATTGGGTAGGGTGATGAGTAAATTTTTTTATATGGAAAACCCGAATTACTCGGAATTTTTTTATCCAATCAACACCTCTGATTAAGAGGGCAAGGGTGTTTGGCATTGTTAGGCTGGACGAGTAGCTTGGTGAGTTCGGTGCATATCAGGCCGATCTCTTGCTTTGTCAAGCTCGGCTCGGTATCTCGGTGAGTAAATGTTAAGTTTGAACATGTGGAGCGGACCAATGGTGTGGCTGGTAATGGCTATTTTTATTTATTTATTATTTTTTTAAACCTATTATAAATACTACAACCATTAATCATTTTAACTCATCAAAATCAATTTACAACTCATATACACTCTCTCAAATTGTTGTCTTCGTCATCTTCATCGAGCATGTTTGGTGCGTTGCTTGAAACGAGCATAAAGGTCATTCAGGAGGCGGAATAGATGATCGATCAACTACAACAAGAAAATGCAGAGAATGCACGTTGAAGGAATAGAAGATACATCCAAAGAATTCGTAAGTCGGGTAATGAACGACTTATGCAAGATTACTTTGTGAATGTCACCACAAGGATATTATTTTCGTCGCTGTTTCCGTATGCATAAATCTATGTTTTGGTGTATCGTCAACGACGTCACTGCAGCGTGTCCATTTTTTTAACAACGTCGAGATGCTAGAGATATAGTTGGTTTTACTCCTATACAATAATGCAACGCAACACTTCGTCAATTAGTGTATGCCACTTGCCCTGATACACTATACGAGAACCTTAGAATGTCCGGATGTACTGCACAAACTAGCATTCACAAATTTTGCAAGTATGTCATGAGATTATATGATCCACGATATCTGCGCAAACCTACTTGTAGTGACATCCAACAATTGTATATTCATCACTCAAATGTGCACGACTTTTCCGGAATGTTTAGAAGCTTAGATTACCTCCACTAGGCATGGGGTTGTTATCCGAATGTCCATAAAGGGCAATACACACGAGGTGATCATGGTTATCCAACCGTTATACTTGAATTAGTGGCCACGCAGGATATGTGGATATGACATATTGGCTCAACTAGTTCCCTCAATGACTGTAATGTCCCAAAAACCAAAGTAAAAATTTTCATTTTAAAGCAAAAATCCATAAATCCACAAGTTACCAAACATTATTTACAAATCATAATAAGTCAAAATATCAAATCAAAGTATTAATCAACATAAAATGCAGCATGATGTGTATAATCACGCCTTCGCTTTCCATCGCTCGTCAGAAGTACTTGAAATATTAAAATTCAAACTGTAAGCCACAGCTTAGTGAGCTTTCCAAAATACCCCATAACACAAAGAAATACAGATACAATACTGTTGGATAAGGTGTCTAAGTCCATAACTTATTTGGTATATACTTGACCCGACCGGCATGGTCCATTTGGGTTGCATCTCATCCAAACTATTATGGATAATTTTGTGAGAGTTATACACATATGTTTATTAATATATAACAAAATGAGTTATAATATATTAATATGAAGTTACGTTATTTAATTAGTTTTAATCTTAAATTAATTATGAATTAATTTAGAGAGTAAAAGGAAGACTAATTAGATTATGGGCTATTTGTTTTATATAGTGTGGGCTAATACTCATTTGTTAATGGGCTAGGCTTATGTGGAAGTCCATGGATGATCCATGGAGCTTTTAACCCATGGATCCTTGGAAAGGAAAAGACATGGGTTATTAAAGGTTTCACCATAACCATGCACACTATATAAGCATGCTTATGGAGCATGAAATGGAGCCTAAGAGAAAACTAGTGAACTAGTGTGTGTGTGTGTGCTTGTGTGTGGCCGATTTTATACAAGGGTGTATACTCTCTCAAAGTTTTCCAAGAGTTTGTGGTGTTTGTGATTCCATTTGAGGCATTCACACTATTGGTGCTTGGCCCTCAAACTCCTTAGAACCAAACTCACCAAAAGGTATGTAATCTCTTCTAACTCTTTTATGTTGAAATGTTCCCCATGTCATGTTAGATAGGTTATAAACCTTGGAAAATTATTATTTTGCATGTATTTAGACAAACATAGATCCAAGGTTTATTAGGGTTGCATGCACACTTAGGAAGTGTTAGATTGCTCAAAACCCAACAGTGGTATCAGAGCCTAGGCTTGCTTGTTTGATACTTGATGCAAAATAGTGATAAAAGTCGAAATCGTTGTTGTCTGCATGATGGACTCGCCGAGTCCATTGGAGGGACTCAACGAGTCCAAGGCAAACTTCAACCTACTCGGCGAGTAAGTTCATGCACTCGACGAGTAGGATCGAAAGAAGTGCAGTTTTTCGACTTTTGCTGCTGGAAATGGACTAGAAACATTACCCTAAACTGTTTTGGTGTTATAAAACTTATTTTAGTTGGTGTAATGGTTGTTCTAATCCATTTACAATAGCATATATCAAAATTCCATGATTTTATGTGTTCATATAATTCTTGAATTTTTGATGATCATGTTCATGTTCTTATGAATTTAGAAAATGATAGGAATTATTTGCTGAATTGTTTAGAATTAATTCTTGATCATTTATGTGTTTTAATGGAGTCCATAATTTGTCCTCAAGTTATGGATTTCCAAAGGTCACTCTTATTTAACACACACTTAAAACACATAAGTTACATGAAAATAAAGAGTCTTCATTTTTATGAACCTTTAATTCATAAGTTATGAAATGAAGAGTTTTGCAAAGTTACAAAACTTGCCCTCAAGTTTTGGAATTTGTAAAGTTTCACACACTTTAATAAACTTTAATTCCAACCCTTAGAGTTTTAATAGTTAAAATTCAACCCTTATACTATTTATAACATTAATGGTTAATTATTATATATATATATATATATATATATATATATATATATATATATATATGTATAAGAATAAGTTGTTTTACCGTTAGTAGGCCTCATTCACGAAGCCGGTCTATAAGGTGGGTATAAGGTTGTTGCCTATAAAATGGCGACTTAATGGGTGTATACTCTCACCCACCGCTTGCTTGATCGGTGGAGGGTCGTTAGCCGAACGGGTAGAACAATGACTTTAAATCCTCATTAAAAGTATAATGAATATTATAAAGTAACTAAACTCTTTTAATTCCCAATCTTAGTTATTTTAGGAAAATGTGAACATGGTGCTAGTCCATGGAATTCACACTTTGTACCTTACCAAGTCGTTGGTGGAGCGTGTGTGGTTAACCGGCACACTAACTAGGACTAGTAAGGATCACGAAGGGTGACTTAATGTTTGTCATAGATCAATGGAGCGTGTGTGGTTAACCGGCACATTGATTAGGTGATAATATTAAGGGTACCAAGTGAATTAGCATGGTTATTCACACCTTGTTTTGTGATCCTCGGCATCCCAGTCACAAAACTTGAAGGGCACAATCGAGATTGAAACATGCCATTGAAAAGTTCAATGAATCTCAAAAGAATCTAGGAATTTCAAATCCAATTAAACCTAATAAATCATTTCGTTTTCATGGTGGAAATTGGTGAATCGTCATTCACCTACCTTTCAAATATATTATTACTTAGATTACGGCATCCCTCTTCTAAGTGTAATATATTGTGATTGGATCCTAGCCTTAATATTACATTTGGGTGTCTTATTAAGGATCCTAAATATCTAATCTAAACTTACTTTCTTCTTTCAGATGTCTTCCAACACTAATGCTTCAGGCTCTAACCCAACTGGTTCTTTCTCTCTCATGAATCTTTGTGGGAGGGTCATCTTTGATGGTTCCAACTTCATGGATTGGATTAGGAACATCAGGATGGTTACTCGTTATGAGGACAAGGAATATGTCCTCGATAAGGAGTTAAAAGAACTTGATGAGTCTACT